ATTTTACAAACATAAAAATTAATTGAAAATAATTAATATAATATTTTTCAAATATTCATAATAAATAATAAGTATAATAAAAAAAATTATAACAAAATTACCTTATAACGAAAAATCACACGAACTTCTAAATATGAGAAGATTGTCAAAATTATTGACTTGTTGACGGAATTATTGTATTAATTTATAAGTTAAGAGGAGAGATGTGAGGAACATAACCGGGGGAGAAGGGTATATATAGTCATACAAGGCGCGGTACCTGCACTGCGGTATATGTAATTATGGTATAGCGCGGATCAGGGTCCGCGCTAAATATAATTGTCTAGATACACAGATATAACGTGGTTCAGGAGGCGCGCTATACCCCACGTATAACCCAGTCAACGTATAGCGCGGTGCAGGGGGCGCGCTTTACTGCTACGGATGTTAGATCGAGAAATATAATCTGACCGGTGTTAGATCGGTAAACATACCGGTCACCAGTGATATTTCGGAAAAAACACCTATAGTGTATGGAGTGCTGAAAAATCATAGTTGTTTACTGTTTGTAGTGCTTATAGACTGTACAAATGCTAGTGTTTCACAATCTACGATAGTTGTGTTTCAATACATTTGGCTTTGTGCGTGTCAACTTAAAATAAAACTGTAGGTATGGAGATTCACACAAAATTACATCATATCTTTACAAAATCTGCACTTTAAACATCTCATAAATAATCATGTGTCCTAGTTGCGACAGTGTTATTGAATCATACGTTCATGTCTTAACAGACTGTGTTTTGGCTCAGCAAGTGTGGGGAGATATGCATTATTCAGTGGTCTTTGGAAGTTTCTGTTATGAATTGCACAGAGTTGTTGTATTGGTTATTTAGACATAATAATTCCACCAAACATTCGGAGATTTTAGTCATAATTTAGACACTATGGTACGCTCGTAATCTATCAAGGTAAAGTGTTAAGCATGGAAGAACTTACTACTCTCATACCCTCCCAATGACAGGACTTCACAACAGCGAATGCAAGAATGGGTGGTCGTCATTTGCTTTCGCCTATCTGATGGCATCCTTCAAATCATCGATTGTGAAAGTTAATGTTCATGCTCGATTTTTGCACACACACAGACAGTCTTGATCAGGAGTCGTAATAAGGGATAGTGAGGGACAAATTATGGGTGCTCGTAGGAGATGGGCACCGAGAGTTACCTATGCTTTTATGGCGGAGGAGCTGGTAATTAGGGGTGTACCTAGATGGGGCGGGGGAAGGCAGTCGTCCCTAAAAATTTCAAATTCTTATATATTTTAATTGTTTTTTTTTATTTTTTATTGAAAATATATTTTCGTACTCTAAAATTTTATAAGTTCACATTTCCTAACATAAAATTATGCGTCCATCATGCTGGCAAGTAGTCATGCAATACAGTTCACAATTGATCTGGGCTTTTTATAGACGTCATCATTGAAGGAGATTCAAAAAGCATCATCGAGAAGCTGGCTTCCTCTAAGTCGGATCTTTCATAAATCAATGCCTTGACTTAGGAAGCGCGACGACGAGCAGAAGTGTTCCATGCATCCACCTTTCGGTTCACTCCGAGAGCAAGAAAACGGCGGCCTATCTTGTGGCCGTCAATGACAGGTTTGACACACTGGGTCATTTTTTGGCAAAAGAGGCGCTCTGGTGTGTTGAACATCAGGCATCGGAGGACCGACAATGGTTAGACCCTCCATATAGAAGCATTGATCTAGGAGATTCCAATGCATTTTTAGGATCAAAGTTTCAATTTTCATTTCCTTGCTTAAGCATGTATCGATGAAGTTTTTCAAAAGAGGTGAGGAGTTAGAAAGGTCAGCCGCTGTTTTTAATTTTCCTTTTTGTTATTTGTCTTGGTAATTATGTTGTGTGACAATCTAATTTAATGTTAAAAAATAATAATTTTGGAACAAATACAAAAATGTGATAAAAATCATAACATTTTAAGTTTAGTGCAACCTAAAATGTTATATTTTTACTAACATTTTCGGTTGAACCTTAAATGTTACGAAGAATATAATATTTTCGGTTGAATTAAAAATGTTTGAAAATGGATAAATTTTAGGTTGTGTTCAACTTAAAATATTATAATTTTTATCACATTTTCAATTACATCCTAAAATCATTATTTTTAACCTTAAATTAAGTAGCACAACAATAAAATATTATATTTTTTTATCACATTTTCGATTACACTTTAAAACTACTATTTTTTAACCTTAAATTAAATCATGGCTCCTTAAACTTCCCCCTCTTGTTGCTTTAATTTACTTTTCCTTATTACATTTATTATTCAAGTTTGTTTCCCCATGTGTTAGTGGAATACACCTGGCTTCGTTGGAACCATTTCATTTTCTAATACTGGCTAGGGTGGCATTTTAATTAAAAAAATATAAATAATTTAAAATTGAGATGCGGCTTTTGCGGATTTATAATTAAAAATTATCGTTTATTTTTTCACTTATCAAACAACACCCAAATCAATAGTGAATTATTGTTTTTTGTCCCATGCAATGTTTAATAATCAGCTATAAATTTAGACTTAAAATGGCTATATTTTTTGTCCACTTAGAGGTGTGTTAATTAATAAATAGAAAGTTAATAAACATTTTGTCTGCTTTTAGATTCTGAATCTCTAGAGATTCTATGTACACGTGTCGAATTCTTCTTCTTCTTCTTCTTTGGGTTAATGAGTGATTAAAGTTAATTTTTAATGGTGGCAACTAATATAGTATTAAATTATACGATTTGAATTCCATATAAGTAAACTACAATCAATTCCATTGAACTTTATTTAACGTGTCAAATATACCATTGAATGTCTAGTTTTATCATTTATAATGTTAAACTTTAATTTTTCGTTTCAATTACACTATTAAGCTGTTAAATTTTAACGGCACGATGACGTGAATTGATCTTTTTGTCATTACAATGACGTGGACAAAATTAATCGTTTTGGCAACACCTATTGATGCCTCAAATAACATCATTTTATGCATTAAACTTTAGAGATATATCGATTTTATCATTAAACTTTTATATAATTTACTTTTTTAACGCTACATTTTTTTGACCGCCGCCGACAACTTCATGTAATACATGAACTATATCATGCAGTTATCCAAAATCGCCATATCAAATCTCAAAATAATATGACGATTAGATAGACAATCGTATCATTGAACTTACATCTTCAACAATCCTTTGTGTTCCCTCTCTCAATCAACATTTTTCTTTACCCATTTGTCAACTGTATGAAAATTATAAAGGTTCATAATAGGTTTGAGATTAGGTTGCATGAGCCGGTCTATCACATCGCATGATCATTTAAATTTCATTCAACGATTACATAATATATAAGAGAGACAGTTACATATCATACGATCGATATAACATAAATTTATTGTGAGTTGCAGGCCCTCAATTCTTCATTAAAATACGATATTCATTCAAACTACAAAAATATTATATTTATTACGATTTCTCTAAACCTATAAATAATTTTTTAGTTATCATAATAGGAAATTGAAAAAAAGTTGGGCCTTAATTCATGTTTTTATTGATATTTTAGATTTTTCTGAATCCAAAAGAAATAATATTTAAATATTATATTTAAATATTTTTGTCGATCATCGTGATTACTATTTTTATTTTCTTCTTCTTCTTTTTTCTTTAAGTTTTTTTTTAATTTAAAATAAGAATTTTCTGTGATACACTTTTATATGTTCTTATAGCACGTTTTTTCTCTGCTCTTGTGGTATGTTTCTTATGGCTTTTGGTATATTTTTCCGCATAATTTTCTGATCTTGTTAGTGTTGGCACAAAGATCCTTACGATATTTATTTTCTTATTGATTTATCGGTGATCACGTATTGTCAAATCCTATCTTTGGTAAAATGATGTTTGTCGATATAATTAGAATTATGTAACGAAACAGTCTGTCAAATTATTTGGTTTGTTCATTACTCTTTTATCACTTCGTAAAAATATGTGTTCGATAGAGAAAAATAGTTTTATAAAAGTTATTGAGTTCTTTAGATGTTAGACGTTATTCTCAATAATAACTTTCTTTAGGTGCATTACAATTTTAGTTTCTTCTATTATTTTTATTAATAAAATTTGATTGCCGTTGTTAATATATATATATATATATATATATATATATATATATATTACCGGGTTTGTAATAAAATTTTAGAAATAACGTGGGGTAGTCAGTGGCACTAAAGCTTCGCATTTTTCTTTAAAGAAATAAATGAAAAATTATTAAGGTTTTATCTTCATGACGCCCATGTCAATGATTCAAGTTTAAACTTAACTGAAAAAATATAAGACTTTAGAGGTAATTATTTCTTTATATATTTGAAAGCAAATGAACCCCAGCGGAAAACTTGTTCTCTGTTTTTCTAGCAGTTTCTTTGGGTGTTTCTGGTTTTCGATATTGTTTCTTCTCCTTCTCATTCAACTCAGGAAAAATCCACTTCAGTTTCTGTTTCAGATGATCAGAGAAAGGTTTACTTTTTCATTTTAAATTCAGTTGAACTTTGTTTCTTATAAAGAAAGAAGCCGTTGCAGTTTCAGTTTGTTGTTTAAATGCTTTAGAAAATGATTTCTGTTTGGTGTAGCTGAGAAAACTCTCGGCAAAATTCTGGTTTCTGTTTCTGGTTTTTGTTGCTTATTTTCAAAGCTGGGATGTTTTCCATTTTTTTCTGGTTTATGGATTCTGTTTGGTTGCTGAGAAACTGGGGTGAGGAGAAAATGAATGTTTTGTAGAATGGAAAAGCGCTGTTTTTGGTCACTAAAGCTGAGTTGCTTTCTTTATTGGTCAAATTTTCTTGTTTTCCCTTTTTTCTTTCTCAGAAACCAAACAGAACGTAAGAAATAGTGGATCGAAAGAGTGTTTCGAGCTCTCAAACTCATATCGCAGAAACTGAAAACATTTCAATTTTTCAGTGGATCAAACTCTAATTATTCTTGAATTCTGCTACACATACTTTTTATTGCCATTTTCATTATTTTAATTTTTAGTTTCTTCATTTAATTTCAGAAACACACATCCTTACAGATTCCCTCTCATTTTCTCATGAACATTATGCAGGTGAGTCAGCATCCCAAATCAACCAAACCACAAGGAAAAGAAAAAATTAATCGAATACTTCAATATAAGGTAAGCAACACAGAGTTTTTCCTTCTTATTTTATTTAACAAGAAATTTGAGTTCGATTTGTTTTGGATTTTCCTAGAAAGTTGGGAAGAAAATGAAGAAGTCAGAGTCGGATCATAGTTTTTACATAGAGAGTGAAGAGGAGGAAGATGAAGAGAAAGTATTCAACGGTGAAGCAGTTGATGGAAATGAATCGGATGCTTCAGATTCTTCGGCTGAAAATCAGCAGCAAATTAAGCCCGACTCGTACAATACTCCGTGGCCTCAAAGTTACAGGTCATTTCTCTTACTATATCACTGCAGAATTTACTGCTTTATTTTGCATTTATTTCGTGTTTCTCGGATTTAGGTTAAGCAAGCATGTTTTATAGTTATTTAGATCCAGATCGGGCTGACTCATCTACGCTTGGAGGTTGGGATAAATTTATGAAGAGTTTGGTGACCTTTAAACGTATTTTGTTTTCCAATTTCTAAATAAAAAATTAGAAGTTGGGAGAGTTATTTAGATACAGATTGCAAGTTATTCGAGATCGACTCGGTCAAAGCTCAATCAACACTCGAATCGAATGAACTTTACTCGATTTTTTAACGAGTTACTTAATACTCTACTTGAAAAGCTCGTGAACTACTCGAAAAAAATATTATATTATAATTTTAGATTTTTTTAAAATTATATTATTAAAAATATATTAAAAATACATTATTGATAATTATAAATTTTTAAAAATATATTTTTAAATGTAATATAAGATTTTTGTAGGTTCAAATTTGAGTTTGAGTTCAAGCTTCAATCGAGCTCAAAATCGAGCTTCAATCGAGCTCTTGAAATTTTTTGAGTTCGAGCTTTTTTGAGTTCGAGCATTTTCGAGTTCCAATATTATATTTCGAGTTTAAGTTAAGCTTAATAATTTTTAGCTCGCGAGTTTTCAAGTTGAGTCGAGCCTAATTTTAAATTTTTCGAATTCGAGTCAAGCTCGACTCGTTTACAGCCCTAATCATACGTATAAATAGAGATTATTAAAATATTAAAATTTGATTAATTTAATTAATCAAATCGGATAAATTTTTATATTTAAAAAAATCGATCCATCCAACCTCATCATGTCCACATCCCTATATACAAATATAGAATGATATTAGCTTATTTAAAAAAGTATGTATATCTAATTTATTGAGTGGTTTATTTTATTTTGAATAATTTTATTTACTTTTAATAATTTTTGTTGAAGTAATAATAATTATATAGAGTGAGACGAGATTTAAACAGATTGAGATGTAAAAAATAAAAGTCTGCGCCTCATTTTAAGCTTGGGATACGAAATCTTCAACAAGCATGGTTTCGGCCTCAAACCCTGGATGTTTTTGCGCGGGAGACTGCAAGCAAATGGTTAAGTGCAATTCAAACCTTAATTAAACTAAAATATATGTCAATGATTTAGACCTGGATGAGTATCCTAACATAATTCCAAAGTGACGTACGGCCTACAAATCCATTTTGCAATTATTGAATTCTGCCGCCTGTTCTTGAATCGTCCTCTACGGGGCCTATTGCAATTTATATCGACTTCATTTTTAATATATTTTTACATTGATAAAATCTCTAAATTATTTAATTTTAAAAATGCAAAACCAGTTAAGTTATTTAACATCTGATGCCCAGTGCTAACGGCTTCTACTGTTTTTGTTTTACAGGCAGTCCATTGATTTATACAGCAGTGTACCCTCGCCGAACATCGGGTTCTTGGGCACTCCGACGCTTTCAAGATTAAGCAGTTCATATCTTTCATCGTCGTTAACCAGACGACACACTCCGGAATCGTTATCTGCGGCGACGAAGCCATTGTTGCCGAATGTTGATGATCAAATACAGCCTCATGGACGAAGCTCTCACACTTTGCTGCCTCCGATCCCGTCGAGGAGACATTCCTCAAGATTTGACGGTAAAACATCCAAAGTCTCGCATGAAATTCCACTCCCTCGACAGTGCTCTTACGGTCAAGCCGTTCTCAATGGTTAGTTTTAATTCTTTACTCGTTTCCCCAGTTTTATCTGTCGTCGAAAATATCTCAAATCTAAATAATGAAAAGTGTAATCATCATCCACTTATTAATTAACTGTTATTTTTAATTAATATTTTTTTCAAATCATATTTTATGATATATTTTAATAATTTATCGTTAACAATTTAATAATAATATTAATACGATATGATTTAATCGAAATATCAAAGGGCCACATGCCATGTCGGGGTTGTCACAGCTTTCAACTCTAATCCAGGGGCTGGCGTTTCAATAGTGAGAAATAATGAGGTGCGGCAGTTTTAATATACTATTAAATAAATTTGTTATCAATTTTATTATTATTTTTTAATAAAATCAATAAAAATTTATTAAAAATATTATTATTTTTATTAATTTTGTTATTATATGACGCTTTATTGATTTTATTAATAAATTCAATAAAATATTATCGATTTTGTTATTAAGTTTTGTTATTATTGACACTTTATCGGAATTGTTAAAAATATTAAAATTTTAAATAGAAATAATAATATTTTAAAAAATTTTACTCATTTTATTAAAAAAATAATAACAAAATCAATAATTTTTTATTAATCATATATTAAAAATATCGCACCGTAAAACTTACCTTCAATAGTTATTCAAAATGGACCACATAAACCAATCAATTTGCCGTCACATCAATTCAATTTAAACTAAATTAGTCTGTCCCTTTTGTCACATCATTACTTAAAATATTTACCATTTTGGTTTATTTGGCTACGTCAAGTTTTTTCTCTCTTTCTTTTTTCCACTTTTGTTTTTAAATATGAAGCAATAAATTTAATATAAATTAATAAACACGTTATGATTTAATGTAAAAAAAATCAAGTATGTTATTTTAATTGTATCATTATATTATATTATTTTTATATTTATATTGATTAAATATCAAGGCCGACTCTGAGTATTTTTTGACCCGAGAAAAAATAAAAGAAATAGACCCATAATTATACAAAATCTTGTAATAAATTAATAGACACTATGAAAATATTATGGGCCTTGAGCGGGCGTCCCTCCTGCCCCGGCCCAGGGCCGGCCCTGTTAAATATGTTGTATTGGTCTTATAAGTTTATTATTATTATTATTATTATTATCATTATGCTAAAAATTAACAAATAATTAAAACTATCCACTAGCATTATAACTTTTAACTCCATGCAAAAAATATATATTTATATGTTTAGGCCATTAATATTGGTTTAAAGCAATGAAAATTTTACATTTACTTTAGAAAAAAACAATTCAACTCAAACCAAATGAAATGAAATATCGCTGCTTATTTTTGTTCCCCTGTTTATTTGGGTTGAATGCAGGGATTAATGTGCTATGTGGAGTGGGGATCCTATCAACCCCATATGCAGCAAAAGAAGGAGGATGGTTGGGGCTTATAATATTATTCACATTTGCTCTGCTCTCATTTTACACTGGCCTGCTGTTGCGCCAATGCCTTGACAGCCAACCTGGCCTCGAAACTTACCCCGATATCGGCCAAGCTTCTTTCGGCACCTCCGGTAGAATCGCCCTCTCTGTAAGTCTATCTCTTCCTTTGCTTAATTCTTTGGTTAATTACAGAAACTGAATGATCACTGATGTCAATTTCCTTTTTCCTTTATGGTGCAGATAATTTTATACGTTGAGCTATATGTAAGTTCATCTGGCTTTTCTGAAATAATGTTATTGTTTGTATCTTTGTTGATTAATCCAATGCTTGTCTAGTCACACTGGGGACACAGAGAAAATATGAGCAAAGATTCCTAACTGGTGTCCTACATTTTTTGGCTTTTTGTTTATCCATGAAGGGTTTAGTGAATTTGTGTTAGATATGTGTGTCCTACATAAGTATATTTTAAGAAAAGAATGAATAAAAACAACATATCCAATGACAACTTTTTTTACACATGGTAAATGTATCATTTTTCACATGCCAGGAAAAAAATAAACTCTTCTGTTACCATGCAGGTTACAACAACATTTTTGACATAGTCCTACATACTTATACTTGACGTTGTCCTTCATATACTCATTGAGTGACCTCAGTAGTAAAATAGAGTGTTATTATCGGTAAAGGTCTCGGGTTGAAGCACGTTTGTAGTGTGTGTGTTAATTGTCCATAGGCTAGAAATACATTCGAACAAATACTATACTGTAATCACCTCAGACTATTGAAAAAGAACATTCCCATTAATGTCCCAGTAATACACCATTTGTTGATTTTTTTTTCCCTGGCATATTTTATATGCAGGCTTGCTGTGTTGAGTATATAATTTTAGAGGGTGATAACTTGGCATCATTATTCCCAAATGCATATATTAGTTGGGGTGGATTCGAGTTAAGCCCGCAACGTCTGTTTGCTTTGGTGACGACCCTTGCTGTTCTTCCCACCGTTTGGCTCAGAGACCTCAGTGTTCTTAGTTATATTTCTGGTAAGACACAGATTGATCTATAATGGTTCCAAACTGAAAATCTATAATTCCTGTAATCTATGGATATATGGAGATTTACTGGAGGAATAATGGTTCGAATTAGTTCCGAAAACAATATAATTATTATGCAATATTTCAGAAACATAGGTTAAATCTTTATTCAACTACATTTTTGTGACATGATTTTGAGTGTATTGATTCTAAGCTGGTGGAGTGGTGGCATCAATCATGGTAGTACTCTGCTTGTTTTGGGTTGGTTTGGTTGACAAAGTTGGGTTCCATAACAAAGGGACACCCTTAAACATTGCTACTCTTCCTGTTGCTGTTGGGCTCTATGGTTACTGTTATTCAGGACATGCTGTTTTCCCCAACATCTATTCTTCAATGGCAAAGCCTAATCAATTCCCTTCCGTTCTTCTTGCCTGGTAAAATCAACTTCCTTGGATCTATCCATATTCGATTCTTCGATTTCGAAAAGTATTTCAATATCAATACAAGGATATAATCTTTTAAATATATGCAAAAACATGTTATTTTTTATTTATCTTCGTTTAATTTTTTTTTCCTTGCAGCTTTGCAATCTGTTCATTGTTGTATGCTGGAACTGCAGTTATGGGTTACACAATGTTTGGAGAAGCGACGGAATCACAGTTTACTCTTAATATGCCTAAAGATCTCATTGCTTCAAAGATTGCAGTGTGGACAACAGTATGTTTTCCCTGTCACTTTCCATCACAAGTATATATCACTTTCCCTTTATATCCCATCTGTTAACTATATATTTTTTTGCAGGTAGTCAACCCCTTCACCAAATATCCTTTTCTCTCTATATTTATACTAATCAGATTTTTTTAAATAGTCTGTAATGATTACAATTTACAAGGTAGTAATTTTTCAAAATTTTCTTAGCCTATAACAAAACGCACACACAGATGTTTGGCCTTAATTTAGAGCAAACGTATGCATTGACAATGTCACCGGTGGCAATGAGTCTTGAAGAGTTGATTCCATCAAGCCATCTTAAGTCTCACATCTATGCCATCTTGATTAGAACATCGCTTGTGATCTCCACCTTGATTGTTGGTCTCACCATCCCCTTCTTTGGTAATCCTCTCTTATTCTTTGTTTTATTCATTGGATGTTGTTACATATGTTATCCGGATTCATGTACGAGCAATGAACATAAGTATATATCCGACACAAATATTTTCAAGCATCAAGTTCTATTCTACATGTGTATGTGTGTATTGAATTTTTTTTTTTCAATTGTTGCAGGATTGGTCATGTCATTAATAGGATCTTTGCTCACAATGCTTGTGGTAAGTAACCACAATTGAATTTGGGTACATTACTAATTGACATGGGACAGAAGACTAATGCATTTTTTGATGATTTCTAAAATGGCAGACCTTGATACTTCCTCCTGCTTGTTATTTAAGCATCTTGAGGGGTAAAGTAACCCGTTTTCAGGTACAATAGTATATTTGATCATGTATATTTGATACATTCTCAGGCCCAACACCCAAACCTAAATCGAAATCTAACAAACTTAAGCTTCATTTAGTTTCAGAAAACAAAGATCATTTTCGTTTTTATTTTTCTTAAAATTGTTAAAGAGAATATTTTGTATTTATATGGATTTAAATCCAAATCAATTCATTAATTAAAAAGTTGTCTTTTTCAACATTTTAAATGAGAACTATTTTTTAATGATATATATTTTTTTAATTTTTGTATAGGCAACACTTTGTATTATGGTTATTGCAGTGGGAGTAGTTTCATCAGTCTTTGGAACATATTCAGCGCTCTCTAAAATTGTTGAGAATTTGAGAAGCTAAAAGTTTCAAATATTTACCAAGTTTAATCAACTTGAGCTTCCTTGTTTGGTGCAAGACATATTCAATGGTTTGCTGCTTCTGCAATTCCAAAGTTTTGAGTTTAATTCTTGAATGTTTATATCCCTATTTCAAGTTTTGATATATTCTTTTCTCATGTAATTTAAACCTTAAAATGTTATCCAATCAAATGGACTTCGTATGATTACTTTTATATGATTACAATTTACAATTAGTTAGTGAATATATAAATAAAATTATAATTACCTTGCTTGATTATACTACTTAAATATGTTAAATGAAGGTTAACTTATAAACTCTTTAAATCTCTCTTTAATCTTAGTTTGTTATTAGACTATAACAGGAAAACAAAAGGAAATCAAAGGCCAACTTACTTTGGTCATCATGTTTCTTTTTCTTGATTTTCTTGGGGGAGAACAACAACTCCAAGTATGACAAGCACCGCCACGAAGATGAGATTTGGAAGTTGGAATAACTATAATGACAAGTGTTGGGGATGAATTGCCCTCCCCCGCAATAACTTTTTAAGTACCTTTAGGTGTGATACCAATTGAAAACGTGGCTCATCAACCCATGATCATTCACATTGGCATAAATGAATTTATCCCATTTTCTGATTTGGCATCGTGCAAGTTTGGTGAAATAGCAGGAGTGTCGGCAGGTCAAAGGCTTGGGATGTGCACAATAGCGTATGTAGCATATATTCATATAAATATTCGTCTTAAAATTTAATATTTTTATATTAATTATCTATTTTATTGATTGTGCTCGTCATAAGATTTTTAATATATATGTGTTCATCCTCAAAATTACTTTTAGATCTATCATTAGATGTACAGCTGAAGACAAGAGAATTAGAGTTTAGGCAGCGGTGCCAGCTGTAAACAACGGTTGTGGTAACAACAACAAAAAGAGAGTTAGAGAAGATGAGAGATTTATTGAATTTATTAGATAATACTTAAAATTTCTTAGAAAGTGTTTATAAATATTCGTTAACAAAAAGTTTATTATATTATTAATTGATTTTTAGCCTCGGAATTCTCTAACTTCCACTTTTGTACCAATCGGGATGCCAGAGCATCTGGCCCGTGAAATAACCCTTTTATCATAGTACACTCATATAGATAATAAGAAATATCGGGATATGACTGTCCTTTTACATGTCCAATTACCTTGTGTCCTTCAAACATTATCAACATTATATAAACCCCAATAAATATTCCTTCTCCTCCACCAGATATACTTTATTTCTCTCCGCCATTTCATTACTAAATTGAATCATCATTTTTCCGCAGTGAAAAAAGAAGAAGAAGAAGAAAATGAAGCAAGAGATCAGCGACGGAAGCTTTTGCGACCGAAACGTGGCAAACCCTTGTAAGGAGTTCGGACGGTGGTGAAGCAGGCTGGTGAAGGAGCAAAGAGCAAGGTTATAACTATAATTTTTATCAGACAGGATAAGGTTTGCTGATAGCTCATTTGTTATGGACATCTCTCCCACGACATTTTGGTTTTAAAAAGGCGTTTTGAAAAAACCAAATGAACTTGCTATAACTTTTTTGGTCAATTTTTTTTAGTTTCGTTTCTTTTATTGGGTTTAAATTCAAGATTTAGTATATGTACATTTTCTTTAAAGTTAATTTAAATCGATAATATTATTAAGTATTTCAGTTAAAATATTTATTCATTTCTTTAAAAAAATATTTTTGTTATAATTAGATACAAGTGTAGGGTTAGGTTTTTGGTTGATTTAATTAAACTCAAGTATTATATTTCACCATTTGTCATTATATTTTACCTAAAACGAAATCTGATTTGATTTCATTCATAAAAATTCTTACTCGTACTCGCACTCGACTCAACATATATGTGTGTATATATATCATTTTTATTAGGTAAAATAAAGACTTGATTGAAAAAAATACAGAAAAAGTATTATTGCAATTAGCTAAAAATATGTAGGAGATAATCATGCACTAATATTTGGGTCGGGCCGGATTAAAGCTTTTTTACTATAAAATTAAATTTGACTTGATTCGAATTTGATCTTTTAAGAGAAAAAATTAACCCTATAAAATCATAATAGAACCATAAAATCTCAGTCTCATAAACATCCCTAATCCTAACTTATTGTGTTAACATTTTTTTGTTTATATTAAGAATTATATTTTAAATAAAAATTATAACCATTTATGTTAACTAATTAATAATATTATAAAAAGTAAATGTCAAAAAGAATATAATTTTAACAGTGAGATTGCATTATGAAAGGCATAGTCTTGGAAATTTTTACATATGTAACAGTTTCAGATGTCAAAAAAGATTAAAATTTTAAGTAAATTCACATAACTAGATTTTACATTTGTCGGTTGCTTAAACCTTTTGTGATGTTTAAAAGCCGAATTTAACGATTTATCATATATTAAACCTTATCCTACAAATTGATATATTAAATATGAAGTTTAAATAAAATCCAATGGAAAGATTTTTATGAACTTTCGTGCTAATATTTTTTTATTAAGGAAAAAGTTATTATATTTTTAAAGTGAATGTTGATATTCGAACTCACACAAAATGAGATAATATAAATATTTTTAATTACTCGATTAATTAATAGACCTCTTCATACTAATCTTTTTTTAATTTAATAATGAGGGTTAATCTTATTTTAGAAAAAAAAAACTATCACAACGATAAATTGATAAAATATTCTTAGATGATTTTATATTCTATCAATCAAAGACAATGATCGTACGCCCTAATCAAATGAACCAAACAAGTTTAATGTATCATTTTTAATAATATGACAAATGATTTCTATTTACATAAATAATCTTGTATTCTATAAATCAAATACCCTTAATATGTGTCACTATTTTAATCCTAATTATAGAGCCTAATGATAACATTTAGTTTTTAACATTTGCTTAAATAATTATTTTGACATCTATTTCCTTTTCTATAACATTTTATCCACTAATATTTCAATTTTTGGTTAACATAGTTGTAGATGCTCGTTTTTATCCGGGGCCGAGTCGAAGCAGACTCGAAGCAATCACAACCTAACCCGACCTTGAACCAGTTCCAGGCCCAATTCAAGCCCAATGAACGACAGTTGATTATAGAGGAAAAGAGAGAGGTTAATGTCAGTTATCAGCAGTTAACAACCAGATGGTGGGGGGTTAACAAGTGTGAAAGAAAAAGGGGGGGTCAGTTTTAATTGGGATTTAACTAGAAAAAAGAGAGGACATCAACGAAGGGAGATCACAGACAGAGAAAAAAGAGAGGAATGAGCAGAGAAATATATTAGCCATCACGAGAAGACGAGAAGCAGGAAACTCGATTAATTATCAGCAATTTCACATAGTGAAAAGAGATACAGAAGAAAAGCAAGGGTGATCCCACAATTCAAAAGCAGATAAAGCATTAGAACTGCAAGTATTTTCGAGGTACTCTTCTGGGATTTATTTTTGTTTCCAATTTCTTTTGCGTGTGTTTGTGTCATTTGGAGAAACTGAATGGGATCAATTTTGGGTTCGGATTTTATACCGTAGTAATTAGACTGTAAAAAGATTATTAAGGTTCCTATAAAATCCATAACACTAATTTGTAATGGAATCCCTTCCATGTTTTTTTCATCGAAGCAATACAAAACAAAGCAATACCAATCATTTCTCCATTCTTTGTTCTCATTTCTATTTCAACAGAACCAAGCAAGAAAAGTAAACAGAACTATTTCTTTCCCATTTCTACTTCTTGAGACAGAAATCATACCAAAACAAAAGATTTTAAATGGTTTTCATTTTCTACTTTCGTTTTATAGAGTTTCCAAAAGTGTATGTATTCGATTAGAAGTAAAATAGTGTAAAGGGAAAGCGGTAGTGTTACCTTAGTGGGGGTCGCCGCCGGAGAGGGGAAACGCCGAGTGAGGTCGAGAGATCCAAGATTGAAGGCTAGCATGGCGGCGATGATGGTTGAAGGATGAGGAGCGACAACCAGTCTCCTTTTCTGGTCTGTAGTGTGTGTAAGAATGAGAGGGGGGTTGAAGAAGAAGAGAAAAGTGAAGGCACGTGGGTTTAGTTTAGGTTATATAAAAGTTAGGTTTTATATAATATTATTTGAGTTAATTAATTTTTTAACCATTGAATTTGAGTAAGTTAGGCTATAGTCCCCTAAATTTGACTTTTATAAATTAGTCACTTGTAGGATTTAATTTTGAATTATTTTTTTTAGTTGTTTGTCTGATTTAGTTATTTTTGTAATTTTGTTTTGTTATTTGGGTGTAAATCCTTTGTTTATGCGCGTATTTCATTTAGGTCCTTGCGTTAGTTTTAATTTGTACGTCGAATTTTATGTGTATTTAAATTTAATCATTACATTTATGTATATATACTTTTTAAATTTTTAGTTTAGCGTGTTATGCTTTTGTTTTTTATATTTGAGTCATATTTGTACATAATACGTTAATATGCATGGTTTATGATTTTTAATTAAAATATGTATACATAGTTATTTTTTTTTTTTTGTATGTCACATTGTATGCTATTTTTTTTTTAATTTAATTTAGTTTAATTAATTTTGGTATGACATCCACTTTTTGCATAATTTGCATGATAGCCTCATTTGCATAACTCGACATATTACATAATTGGATTAAGGGTAATATCCTTTTAATTTAAAATTATTTTAAGTGGGCAGTCATAACTGATTTGAGGTCCGCTTTTAATGATTTTAAATTAAAAGTGTATCCCGAAAGTGAAACCAAAAAAAATTTGATTCGTCACCTAAAATTTGGGAACGAGAGAAAAAGAAATGTTCGTTTATTTAAATATATCGAGAAAAGGTTGTTATATCTTTAAGATCTGGTCTCGATATTTGTAAATAATCGAACATTCTTTATCTTTCTAAAATGACTTGGTAATTTTAATTTAATTTGTTTGAGTGTTTTTGAATGTTTTAAATTTACATTTTTTACTTTATGGGATCAAGAATCAAAATAAACTCGAATTTATAAAGTTCATCGCAAAGACGTTAATTAATCGACTAGGTACCGATTTAGGGCGTTGTGGGGGTGCTAATCCTTCCCTACACGTAACCGACTCCCGAACTC